ACTCCCTCATGCCTCTGTCCACCTCCCCACACAGCCATTTCCTGCGTCTGCTTCTCTTCCGCCGCCTACAGAACAAGGGTGGGGGGTCATCTATTCTCAGAGAGGTTCCCCAAGGGGGTGGGTCTCATTGTAGGTGAGGATCCTGCCATGCCTTCCTCCAGCAGCCAGGTGCAGGGAAAGGAAGGTCCCACCCGCCCTGGAGTGCTACAGTCTTAGACCTCCAATCTCCAGGAGCAGGGGGAAAATACTCAACTAGACAATTCTTAGAAACAGCAGAGTGGAGAACACAAGCCAGCAGTGAAACTAATCCCTCCAGTCAGGGATCGAACCCAAGAGTCCCAACGCCCCACCCAATCCCCCCTTCTTAGAGCCAGGAACAGAACCCAGGAGCCCTGACTCTTAACTCGCTGCTCTAACCACTCACCTTCACTCTGCTCCCAGAAGGTGTAATGCACTATTGTGTCTCTACACCTCTCTCTTAGGGTTGTCAGGTGTCCTGTTTTGAACCAGACAGTCCAGTATTTGAGCTTTCTGTTCGGGAAACACATTGAGAACATAGAACTGTCCGGTATTTTCTAACTAAGATGGAATGTCGATTGTGATGGAATGTCAGGTGTGTCCGGTATTTTTGTTGAAACCATCTGGCAACCCTACTCTCTCTGTGGCGAGAAGGGTTACATACAGCCCCTCATTGCCCTGTGTCTCCCCTGTAGCCCAGGGACTCCGACATTCCCACAGCAGCATTGGGGGTCTCAGCAGACACACTTACTATCTGAGCAGTGGGTAAGGTTGGAAGCTGTTGGGCTGAACTCACACACAAGGCTCAGGACACCTGGGTTGTAGACATGTCAGGGTGGGCAGTGGGGTATAATGGTTGGAGCATCGGAGCGGGGAGGCAGGACGCCTGGGTCCTAGCATGTCATGGTGGGCAGTGGAGTGTAATGGTTGGAGCACCGAGGTGGGAAGGCAGGACGCCTGGGTCCTAGCATGTCACGGTGGGCAGTGGGGTGTAATGGTTGGAGCACCGGGGCAGGGAGGCAGGATGCCTGGGTGCTAGTGTGTCACGGTGGGCAGTGGGGTGTAATGGTTGGAGCACCGGACCGGGGAGGCAGGATGCCTGGGTCCGAGCATGTCACAGTGGGCAGTGGGGTGTAACGGTTGGAGCACCGGGGCGGGGAGGCAGGATGCCTGGGTCCTAGCATGGCACGGTGGGCAGTGGGGTGTAATGGTTGGAGCACCGGAGCAGGGAGGCAGGATGCCTGGGTGCTAGTGTGTCACGGTGGGCAGTGGGGTGTAATGGTTGGAGCACCGGACCGGGGAGGCAGGATGCCTGGGTCCGAGCATGTCACAGTGGGCAGTGGGGTGTAACGGTTGGAGCACCGGGGCGGGGAGGCAGGATGCCTGGGTCCTAGCATGTCATGGTGGGCAGTGGGGTGTAATGGTTGGAGCACCGGAGCAGGGAGGCAGGATGCCTGGGTCCTAGCATGTCACGGTGGGCAGTGGGGTGTAATGGTTGGAGCACCGGGGCGGGGAGGCAGGATGCCTGGGTCCTAGCATGGCACGGTGGGCAGTAGGGTGTAATGGTTGGAGCACCGGGGCGGGGAGGCAGGATGCCTAGGTCCTAGCATGTCACGGTGGGCAGTGGGGTGTAACGGTTGGAGCACCGGGGCGGGGAGGCAGGACGCCTGGGTCCTAGCATGGCACGGTGGGCAGTGGGGTGTAATGGTTGGAGCAC